ATTTAACATTTATTTATTTGGTGTATCTGAACGGTAAATAGAACTGAGCCGTTCTGAGAATTATTCGGACAGTCAGTTAGCAATATATCTTGGAACTTTGCAAAACACTTGGGTCTTTTCCAATCTAGACTTGATGGCGCCGTTGTACTGGCACGCCCACAATTGGAATCATTCCATTATCTGCAAGATGCGGGTGAAACGCTGTTTTCAAAACGACATGCGTTGGTTACAATATATTAACAGGTTATATGTTGCATATGCATTCAAAGTGTTATTTTAAATTGTTATAACCATCTGAGTCCACCTGACATAGCGCAATTTACGAAACAACTCCCGAGTGTTGAGTATCAATGAACTAGTCGTTGGCGGGAAGGCTCAAAGTAGATTCTTAGCGGGACACGCTGCAGTTTCGCGACAGTTTTGGGCCAAACTAAAAGTTGTTTTTACATTACTGGTGCAATATGTATCAAATTCAAATTTTATACCTAGGTGGGAGAGTATAGTACGTCAGGGATACATGGATGGAAAACTTGATTATAACGGTTTGATGGACTTTGTCAAATGAAGTGCCTTCATTGAGCGAATCACTTTTTCAACTGCAGTTTGAAAAAGACGGGGTATAACGACCGTTATTATGTCTAGTCCATTTTTGTAACAGGTACAACTGACTAAAATGAGCGAGGGGTTGAGATTTTTGACAGATTTAAACAACATCTAACTTGTGAATTTCAAAATTACTGAAAATAATTACAATATAATTATAAAAAAATAAAGAATGGTTGCTGTAAACGCGCGCTAGATAATACTTGCAATTCACCAAGCCGACGACCCCTATGAAATAGTAATCCCAAACCATGCGTCCGTCACTCAAGTGGCGCCGACAAGTCTAGATTGGGCAAAGACCAAAGTGTTTTGCAAAGTTGCAAGTCATTTTGCTAACTGACTGTCCGAATAATTCTCAGAGCGGTAGAATCTGCAGAATCTGCCTGATTCATTGAGATTTCGTGACTATTGTGTAAAATAGTTGACGGTCTTACATGTAGTTGTATAGATTGATGTGCAAATAGTTTATTTGTATAAACTATGAAAAAATGGTTACACGTATTACGCCTGAGCTGAGTCTTATGTGAACTTGTAATATTGAAGATAAAGAGATTCGCCATGTTACGAAAAAAAAAATCAGGAGCAATGCCGCCACCAACGACAAGCTATAACAACATTGCTCTTTGAACATTGTATTGTGGGTAAATCAGCCATTTTGTTGCCGTACTTTGGGTGTTTTTGTACGATTGGTGGTTATACGTTTGACTCGATTACCCCCATTCAAGTTATTTTCCCATAATGTTTACTATACCATGGCATGTGTAGATAGTTGAAGCAAAGACACACAAGGTTCAAAACTTTTCTAGGGAGTGGAAGGGGTTCACGGATAGATCGTTGGCCGAACCTCGACCGTTTCGATCACTATTTATTTTTATCAGATTGTTATTAACAATATTCAGCCAAGATGTCGAACATGTCTACGAATTTACAGATGCAGATCCAGTCAACGGCTGGTGCTATACCAGTCAGGAATGAAAAAGGTCAGTTCAGTTAAATACGTATTTTTGCAGTATTACTAATGAATTGACTACTCATACAGTACCACGCTGACAACAAAAGTCGGGGAACAGGAACCGGGGAACAGCATGGCTCAGCTGAAGCAACGTCACACTATTACATGCAAATACATTAAATCGAAAAGTGTAAATAAATAATGCTTTGTTCACTTGCTTTCTGATATTCAAAATCAATTTACATATTTTATATGCTACCCTGGAATCTCCTCTTACTAATCCAATATTAAAGAATTGTGCTGTGTTCATTCACGGAACTGGACAAGTTTTGGAAAGAGTTCTTTAAGGCCCCCTTACCTTAACCCTAACACTCCACCCCAATGTAATTCACTATGCCCCTCCAAATAACTACAAGTGACCTGAAGAGGAGTATATACAATATGAAATGAAGGGAGGGGCAGGGTTTGGATTTGAGTTATAGGTGAGGGGGCTCTAAGGAACTTTTACCCAGGTGTTTGTTAGAGCCTGTCTGCATGATAATATTACACTATTACCAGACAAATATTTGTTT